ATGCCTTACCCCACAAGGTGCATAACCCGGACCACAATCCGGTGCGAATATGAAATTATACCAAGAATCTTAGTTAAGCTACAAACCTAATTTACTAAGTGAGTCTATAAAGAGGCCTAGTTGGTATTGTTATTACTCAGCAACCACACATTCTTTCAAGAACTAATCCTGCTTAATTGATTGGAGTGCCCGCCCATCGTACTCTTGCATGTGTACAGTATCCTCGCGTTACTTTTCTGCTAACCAAATAACGATATCAACCTAAAACAAACTCTATGATAAACAAGTTAATGCTACATATGTAGTGAATGATACTCTATCGTAGGAGACACGGTTGCGCGCATGGCTTCTTAACGAACTGCGAATATTGCAAATTTGTTGATAGCATGAAAATCCAGACTTATTTTCGCAGTAGCACAAATATAGTGTGCGTTTGTGTTGCGGTGCCGGTTGTGTATGTATGTGAAAGGATGACGGTGCGAAAAAAATATTTTTTCCTTGCTGACTCTCGTGTGCTTCTTCGACGATGCCCGTTAATAGGATTGTTGCTCTCCTCCTTTGTGACATATGTTGTTGTTTGGTTGAACTCTCTAATCATGACTGTTCGTGCTTGTGTACGCTTTCCTTTATTATATGGAATGACAGTCGAACATGATTTTTTTTTTTCCCTTCACAAAGTCTTACACATGTAACTTGCACCACCGGTAACATTGTTTTGATTTTTGCGCGTACCATCAGTAGGAGTATTATTATCTTTCTCAGGGCGTCGTCCTACACACTGTGCACACGTATAACCCTCCCCCCAAAAAACCCTTCTTATCTAAGGGTATGGAAAAACCATGTGACCTAGATCACTAGCCAGGGTGTCTAAGGAATTTTTTAACCCGGCAAAAACCTGGTGTAGCAGTTAAACTAGAAACCTATGTTTTTGGTTTTGAAAAAAACCGTATAGGATGTCCACTGCTCCTCTCACTAAATATCGACGGCGTACTCTCAGATTGAATCTCGCCCAAATCATCAAGCGATCCACTTGACCATCAACGTAAAGACCCTTCCTAATGACGCATGCACAGTTCACACTTGAGACGCACATAATCGGCAAACCTGCGCCGAAGGACACACACGCGCAACACACCGCACACAGGCACTAATAAAACATGCTAGGATACTCTCCGCTTACTAATGTCTATTTAGCAATATGCAACCCCTTCTCTAAAGAGCTATAAAAACCCGTATTCAACACTGACGCTTATTATGACCTGTTTCTGGTCCGGTAAGTACGCATGCTGTCGTTGCTGACGTAATACTCACATCACTCTTCCATAAGTAATAGCAGCAAGCTTCCTACTCGTAGCATCTTTGTATCTGTAGTTGGGGCATATATGCCCTCACTGGTGTCGTGGTATTAACTCAGTGAAAACACTCCTTAAACCCTCTTTTGAGAGAGAAACCGTCCTCGGTAGGAAAGATCGTCTGCTTTGAATAATACTAAACAGGCAAAAACCCCCCAGCCAAAAAATACGAAAACCTAAAACCGACAGTGTTCTCTATTAAGCAACGGAAAGCGTATAATGGATCTACCACTTTCTGTTTTTTTTTATGGACTTAATTCCACTAAACTACTTACAAGCATCGGACTCAGGCACCGACCCTAGAATCCTCACAAGAAAAATGGCGTGCAAACGGGCCTATCTTTAAACACAGGCACAATCCAACTCACCGACACAAAAGACCCACGCTGCACACACCCACGCTAATGAAACACACTACGAGCAGTTTGCCCGTCCCATAGATAATTACTGAAAGTATTCTCAGCACATTCCACTATTAGGCGCAACCACCCGTTTATTGAAAATTTTATGATAAGATGATTCTCTTTCAACCCCCCATGCATCATCCATTAATCACCATACTAGCCGGCGTATCTTGAGCGTACAGCATGAGTCCGCCTATCTAATTTACTCCCTTGGCCGCACAAACCATCCCGCCTGTCTCTAACAGGAGAATCTGTGTGGTGTGTACGAGAAATGGTAAGCACATGAATGTTTTCACCAGCGCGAGCACATACGAAAGATATCTCCACGCATAGCAAGCAGGGCACTAAAGGTGCAGTAATTGTTGGCAAGATGGTACATCGAATTTAACACCAACATCGAAAATGTCTACTATGTACGAACCAGCAAACAGAGAATACCTGTAACATGATCTATTCTGTAACCCACGAATAAATTTTAATAAGAAAAACAAATAATGCACGTGCCCTCTCCTCCCTTTTACGAATCCTCGTACGTTGTTTTTTCACAACATAAAACAGAACATAGCAAAACAAGGGCATATGCCGCTATCCAGAAAGATGGATACGCAAAGCTTGTTCATACGCACTCCCTGTCTTTTTTAACCTCTAATGTTAACCATCCGCACCACCAAAAACATGGGACAAAAAGGAGAATGGGCTAAACACAAACCCGAATGCAGAATTCGCATGGGGTTTTCGCCTATTAAACTGCACATACAAAAAACGCTCCTCCTTACCGTACGGATACCCTGTATCTTACAAAAAATAAATAGACCGTGTCTGCCTCTTTTCACATACATATATATATATATATATGTATAGTTTTTAATTTTATATACATACATATACAAAAGAACGCACATCAATCATGACATTCATGAAAAAATTGTTATCTGTCAGATTTTCCGGGTCCCCCGACTTAAAAACCAATAACCACACATTGGTTATCAACCCCTCCAAATCCTCGCTGACCCAGATAGGATCGAGTGCTCTGAATACACGCCCCTGCTTGGCTATGAAAACACAGTTGCTGATGCACAATGAAGACGGGTCATGATACAAACTATGCACAATTTGACCCCTAACTATGAACATCTCCATCGAAGTAATGGCAATCGCACCCCAACCACAGATCCTCTCTTGCTAGGCCCAACGCGATTACCCTGCCCCCGTGTCTTCCGAAATACACACACACCCCCTATCCCAAGCAGGCAAACCTCATACCATGTGACGAATCCCATATAGCCTGCGCTTGTCCACACACTCGAGACCAGACGGCCACTCTTCTACAAGCCAAGTCCCTCCTGAACACAGAACCAACGACCACCCATACTACCAATTATAACCATCCCCAATGCGTAACACACCACGTATGCTCCTTCGCTCTTGTAAAGGCGCCTGAAGAATCACCTCCCATTCAACAAAATTCACCTGTTTCTCACCATGCTCCTGCAGCAGGTCACTAGTAACCAGCTCCACCATATCCGCAACCACATCCACCCCGCTGCTTGGTGCTGCATTAGGTACGTCACTAGAAACCTTCGTCACATAGACCGTGACCTCACACAACAAATCCTCGCGATATTTCAAACCCACACACAACTCCAGGACCAATATCCCGTTCGCCATCACCCGATAATGACGAGCTGACGTGGTTGTCACCCCGTTGCTAAACTTGAAATCCATCCCTTTATCGTCACCTCGACGATGACGTAACTCATGAACTACGATGGCCCGCCCATACACTTCGCTGACACACGTAATCTCGATATCCATAACGAGCTCTTCCTGAGACAACAGCAAAAAAATAACGCCACGAACTCCCACTTCTCCTTTCTTACAAGTTTTTTAAAAGAAATGCCCCCAACTGTAAGATGACAACGGTTTACATGTGCACGAAAATCGGTAGAAATTAAGAGCAACCCACTATTGCTGTCAAAAGACTCACCCTCAACCTTGTTTGATCGACTACACATACGCCCGGATTGATGAAATGCTACGGCTTACCACAAAAACCGCAAATGACTTGACTAGCAACATGCGCCCACTATACACAAACCATGCTACACGGCAACTGGGTTCTCCGAACACCTTGGAAACACTAGACCGAGCAACTTAACGCATGAATCCTTCCTCAGCCCATCGCTCAGACTTACGAGACGCGCCCACTATGACTCTGTGCTAGCTCCGCAACCAATCCCCGACCCTGTTGCTTCAAACATGGCGAATAACAAGACTAGTGTTATGATCGGAATCACCAACTAACAATTTATACCTGACCAACCTCAACAAATAACGAAACAGATTGGTCCCGGACCAACCATGGACCTCGTGCTCACTTCGGAACCAAACCCCAGCCTTACTGCCCCAAACATGACTCATGATAAGACTAGAGTGATAAAAAGAATTACCAGCTAAATTCCTTATACCGGACCTCCCTCAGCAAATAACGAAATAGGATTGGTCCCTAACCAACTACTGACAACTACCACCCAAAAAAGGACACAAAAGTAGCCAAACTAACGCGTATGCTGCCTTTTTTTAAAAAAATAATAAAAAATAAAAAGTAACTACCCCCCCCCCCGAAAAAAAAATTCTTAAAAAAAACATGAACCTTGGCTAACCAAGCATGCATTGATAACTATATTCATAATACACCACCAAACCCCCCCCTCCCTCCCACCAATACATGAAACCCTTTAACTACCGAACTATGCACCACAATTAGCTAAGCCCAACCGTACAATAGATGACCCAGTACCCTCTCTATAGATCCCAATACATCACGCATCCCACCAAAACAATTCACCGAAAATAATAACTAAAACACAAGCGGCGGCTCTTCGCAACAAACGTGCCTACTCCTGACCGCTATCACTAACCCCCATCGGCTCATATATGCTATAATGAACCTATATAAACGAACACAGAATGTACTACCTATGCACGCCGCACCCCATACTCTGTGCAATCTCTACACCATGCTACTTCTTGGTACCTCATACCAATTTTTTTATGAAGCCTGCGCATTAGCAGTGACCACTGCAAAACTATATAGGCCTCATTCACTTTTTAAAGAATCGTACTTATATAAGAAATGCAAAAAAGAGCAAAAAATTCAACCCCCCTAATCTATAATTCCCACGTACGCAAAAGACCAGCTAGGACCTATGACAGTGAGGTAAGGCTATGATAAGAAAACTAACCCATTTACCTGTATGTAACATGTGCAGGATCAAGACAATATCCAAATGGGCTGGCACCCAGAACTGGTCACCAGCATCAGACCATTTTGCATGCTCAAACCGCCCATCGTACACTGTCAGATAGCCATGCTGGCTATCCCTGCTGACGTGTTGCTGCAGGTACATGAAGCCACAAACGGACTGACGCCCTTCCTAATAGAAAACATGTCCTTCAGTGACTGGGCAACCCTGGTTGCAGTAATGCAAACCAGACCCCAGGAACTACCTAACAAGATCAAGGAACTCACTACCAACATTGCAGAGGTATTCAGGAAGTCCGCCATCGAAAATAGGGAACTGAACCTCATCGTCGCCAAAGCCAAGAAAGTCATCCTCGACCTCCATCGCTACGATTCTTCGCATCTGGACAGTGCAGGCCAGATCTCCACAAACGATGCTCCTGAGACTTTCACTGCTTCATACATCAGCAGCATCGCGCTAACCCCCGCAGAGCTGGAGTATTTCAAAAGACATGAGACGATGCGAAGAGAGTCTGCCCACATCAACATCTTTGCCGCTACAGGAGGAACGAGCCACAAGTTCGGAAAGAGCAGCTCCTTCCTTCCTCTTGCATCAGGCACCTGGACGGAGAAGGCAATACATCGTGTTCATAACCGCCTATGGAAGCTGGACACCTTCAACTACACGGCTCCAATCAGTGTCGATGCTTACATGGCGCTAGCTGGCCTGACTGAGGCCGACATCGACGATTGTTGCACCACCGCTAGAAACGCTACCATACACTTCCTTGCCGGAAGAGTCGGCCTTGATGCAGATTTCCCTGCAATCTCCAAACTGGAGAAGGGCAAGTGCGCCAAGAACCTGCTGCTGCACTAGAAGGGAATTCCCAAGTTCCCAACAGACCTCCTGGAGCTGAAGAAGTTGTGGAACGCCGGAAGACCCTTCCTCAAGTGCCCATGCCCAGGATGTGAGATAAACTTCACATGGCTGGACCATATGCTCTGGTACGTCATCGGCAACCTTGACAAACTGGCCCCGCAAGCACCATCTGACAAGATCAGAATGCTAGAGTTCCAGGTGCTGCTACGGACCACCTGGATGAAGCCTATTTTAGCACAAATCACCTTCATCTTGATGAGGGAGCACATGATGAAGATCGTGCACCTCATCACACAGAACAAGGCTATCACTGCTGAAGAGATCCTCGGGTTTAAAGACTTCAAGGATGTGCCTTTCGTTCGAAAGTTCACAACTGCGCTGCTTCCTAACGCGGAAGGGTTGCTGTCGCAAGCACCCAACAGAAGAGAAGGGACAGGCGACTTCAAAGACCATTCTCTACGCAGGTGCCAGCAAATGCGACTTGGCACCTCATGCACAGAATCCCCCATCACATGCACACTACCGTCCCGCACACCGCAACAAGCACATACCCCAAGATCAGACGCAACCGCATCATTCACACCAATACACCTCGCTTCCTCCTCCACTCTCTGCTCTCGAACAAACGTAGGTGCCGCCGTAGCACCACGAGACACGCTGCCACAACTACGACCTGTCGAACAGCACACCCCTGCACCCAACACTCTGCCACACCCCACTGATCTGCCTACTGCAGTACCAACAGTACAGAGCAATCATAGCGCACCACAGGCTTCTGCAAATCCACCTCAAAATCCCAACCCTCACCACTTGCCACCAGCAAGCACACACGCTTGCACACAACCACCCCCCAACCTTGCGCAGCCAGACCAACTTCCCACACCTACCCAAATTACCCCCCAGACGCACATAAATACTTTCACCTTTGCCGCAACACAACTTGCCGCCATAAACACCTCATCAATCACCCCAAACACCAGCCCACTCAGCCCCCTCTTAGTAACGCTGTGGGGAAACCAGGGGAGGGGCTACCTGCTGCTCGCGGAAGCCATGAGCCACGGCGCCTGTCACTTCGCCGCGATCGCTTCAGAGGTCCTCTGCGAGCAGCGGGGATGTGGGCAGAAGTCGCCTGGTCACGATGCCTGATTTTCTACTCCCTTTCTTCTTTATTTGATAACTTCCCAATGCAAAGAGTTTCATTCAGTTAACCGGTAGATCAACAGGTTCTGACAATGATAAATCTCACTAGTCAAACAGTGAATCAGCTGGTCCAGACAGCAATGATCTTCGATGGCCAAGCGATTTAA